TGGATTTTAGCAGTGGCCCCAGGAGAGAGGCTGTCCTCTAAACAATGCTTCAAATCTCCCAGCCTGACTAGAGGAGCAAAATCCCCACTACACTCAGTGCCTTTTTCATCTAGAGTGAGTGAATAGTTTAGGTTGGAAGGGACTTTGGGAGGTCTCAAGTCCAGTCTCCTGGTGAAGCTGTGCTCCATGCTGCTCAGAGTCTTTTCCAGTCAAGCTTTGAAAGTCTGCCAGCATGGAAATTCCAGAGTCTTTCTGGGTGACCTGTTTCAGAACTCACCCATGCACACTGGGAAACATTTTGATGTGTAATCAAGACTTTGCCTTGCCACATGTCCTGGGTGCTGGTTCTGAGGAGAGCCAGGCTGGGGATTTACTCATCCTTTCCTTGCTGGTGAGATACTCTCCCTGCTTGGGTCTGCACACCACAGCATTCTTCCCAGTCACGTTTTTTAGGGCTTCATTCTCCTCTGTGCCAGCCAGGTTTAAGTTAGCAGTACAACCAGACTGCAAATCTAATACAATCCTATACTTCCAGAGCCAAAAAAAAAAAAGGGAAAAGCAAGAGAATTGCCAATTTCCACCTATTACCCAAATCACACAACTTTGTCACATCTTTTCCTTGCAGTCCCTATGCAGACCTGCCATTCCTTCCTTTGTGGTTAACCTCACACCCCCAAAAGGTCAGTGAGGTATTTGTGAGAAGGGCTAAGTCTTCTGGCTCTGGCAATTATTAGTCTACACAGGAGCTCCCAGAGTGACAGATGGTGGAATTGTATGAGATTTTAAGAAAAAGGAAGAAACTTAAAAGTATTCAAGTTATTCATAGAGCATCTCAGAAACAGCACCATAATGTTGATACATAACTCAAATTATCCCTTATTGCAGCCACCTATGGATTATCTTGATCCATGAATATCCAGCAACAGCAGAAAGTGATGTTATGAAAATAGAATATGCCACAAAACACAACTTTGAGACAAGAGCTAAGATAAAACCAGAGAATTTGGCAATGAATTACAACAGACCCAGGAGTGGATTGTCAGTGTGCAATACTTATGTACTGTCTGAAGCTTGTATTGACTTATGCAAAATACATACTGAGCACTCATCCAGAAGTCACAGCATTTGTGACCCAATTTGGTCACAAATATCAGATGTGTCTGACGTTTCAAAGTTTAAACATCACTCCCACTTTGGGGCTGGTGAAATGGGGATCTGGACACTGGAATATCCTATTGCAGAATAAACTAAGGTGTGAATTTAGACTGATCTCCAAGGTGTGTGCTCCCATTTATTCCAAGATAAACAAAAGGCAGTCTATATCCTGGTTTACTAAGGGCAAAAGAATTTCTGGCTAATGATGCTGCATTTATTGCAGCTCTGTAAGTGCCCTGTGACAGCTGTGTCTGTGTAACTCCTGTGCTACGTGTGGTGAAAATAACTTCCAACAGCACTCAGCTGATGCTTCATTTATTTAAGAAAAGATACATTTCTACTCCAAAAGTCCACAGCATGTTTGTCCAGATAATCACTCTACATTCTTTCTACCTCCCCACGGATTGGAGCTAAAATTATAAACAAATTGCTAGCAAAATGTGGAGTTTTTCTTGGGAGAGAAAGAAGGTGATTCATATTTCCAGTTATTTGAATTTATTGCCTAATGTAATTTTCTCTAACAGATAAGGTCCAGTTTTCCAAAAGACTAGCAACAACCTGGTCTGCAGAAGATAAAACTTAATACACCACGTCTCACATTTTCCACAGCAAAGAAAACACTGCAACAGAAGATAAAGCGAAAATAAATATTTCTCAACAAGAAAATGACCTTCCAGAAGTCAAACCCTACCTGAGTTGTGCTTTAAGTTCAGTAAACCTGGGTCTCCTGCTGGGGTCGTACGCCCAGCACTTGGTCATAAGGCTGTAGAGGGTGGGAGGGCAGTTTGGAGGCATCGGGAGCCGCTCACCGTTCTCGATTCGCCCGATCACATCATTGTTCTTCACTCCCTGGAAGGGCTTTACCCCGTGCATGAGGATCTCCCACATACACACACCTGAGAAACACACACACACAAAACGTTTTCCACGGGGTGAGCAAACAACAAAACCTGTTAAGAAAGAAACAAACCCCAATTTTGTACTGAATGAGGCAATCCCTTCCAAGACAGAGCTGTGGAATTCGTGTGGACTTACCTGCTGGCAGCAGAGGAGTGAAGAGCAGGACTGCACACACACATCAGCCTCACCCACTGCCCAGGAAGCATGACCCACAGCAGCCTGGCTTCACACTTCACTGCCTTTCACCTAGCCTGAATCAGTGTGCTTGCTCATACTCAAATCTCTTTTCTTACGAGGCAGAATGAGCTGTTTGCTTTTCCCTTTGGCTTGTTCCGACACGTAGAGTGTATTTTCACTTTAAGGGTGTTTTAACACTGGCATTGGCCCAAGGTTCTTTTGTGCTGAAACTATGTAATAGTGTAATACACCAGTTTCTATTGAAACTGTGCTAAAAGCACAAAGGGAAACATGGTCTGTCAGTTTAGGATTGGTCAAAATGTTCCCTAGGCTTTATTTTTCCAACTATGAATGCACTAGAGTTTTCTTCCAACTATTATAAACCCTTCAAATTTTAATTTGTAAAGAGCTGAACTCTAACTTGATTTTGCTGCTCTTATTCCAAGTCTCATCCCCTTTGCTCCCTAACACAGCCTGTGTCCTGTCTGCCCAGATCAGCAGCCTGGACTAGTTTGAAAACAGGTGATCAGATTCATATAATAACTTGCATATTTAGGGAAAAAAAATCAAAGCTTCAGGATGTTCCCACTTTATTCCCTTTATTCCCTAATTTATGCTCAGCTTCTGGTCATACTTTCTAAGCTGGCAGGAGCTATGAAAGACAAATCAAGTGGAAATCTAGCCCTAAAGATCTGGAAACAGGACATTCCTTAGGCTGATCTACACTCTAAGCAAGGAAGCAGGTGTATACCATAAAAGAAAAAGACAAAATATAAAACAGAAATAGCAAATAACAATGGTTTAACACAAACCCACCACAAAACCCAAACCACAACCAACAGAAAAATGTCATCTCCATTACAACTATGAGCTAATTTCCTTGTACCTTCACTTCTGTCAGCTTCTTACTAGAGGCAAAAAGGCACACGAAACTTCAGGCTCACCGAGTAGGAAAAGGAAAGAAAAATGCAGAGATGGAAAATATGCTGGAAGAAATTTTCAGAAAGTACAGTAAAAACTGTACCAAGTCTCTGGAAATTATTCATTTACAGTAGTTAAAATGAAACACTGAACTTCTCCAACAGGACACTAAAGAACCCTCAGCACTTGGTGTTCACTTACCAAACATCCACACATCGCTAGCTGAGGTAAACCGTCGGAAGTTGATTGACTCTGGAGCCATCCATTTGATAGGTAATTTTCCTTTGGAAGCTACAAGGAAGGAAGACAAGGCTATTATCCCTACTACTGAGCTCAAACAAAATTCTGTTCTCAGTGGAACATTTCACAGGCAAGACCCAGTTCCAGTGAGCCCTTCAACTATCAATACATAACGACATCGTTGTTTGGTCATACATAAACCAGAGAAAAGAAGCAACAAAACCCAAAATAATAATAATCCCCCAAACCTCCCAATAAAGACCCCAACAACAAACCCCAAAAACACACCAAGAAATGATCAGGTCAAAATTATTTCTCCTCTCAGCAATTAAAAGGATATAATGTAGCTCAGTGAAATGAGACCAATGAAACGAGGAGAAACAGTGGAGTGTACAGGACAGAAAAAGGGGATGTTAAAATACATGACTGAAACCAGAAATATATGGAAGATGAGATTTATGAATACATGGTTTCATAACATACACCAGCTTTGAAGTGCTGCTGTTTGGTACTCAACATGCAATCTGCATTTTCCTGCTGTTATTTCCCACCTATCAAGCACTGCAGGATATCTCTCAGCTGCTGGAGACTCCAAAGCTCAGTATTCCATCCAAAATGGGGAAAAAAGGAAGCTTCAAGGCAATTTTTGAACTGAATGTCCCTAGTCCAGTAGCATCTGAGGTTTGCAGCATACCATGACAGAACAAACTCAACATTTATCTGTATCTACACATGAATTTTCTGCTTTTTGCAACTTATATCAGACCTTGTGATTCTTCTTCATAAGGAAACATGTAGGAGTTTACTGCCACTATTACACTGTTGAATAACTTGCCTTTTAATCCAAATACAACAGCTAAACCAAGAAAATCTATTTAATTTCCCAACATTGTGAAAAGCAACTGTGTTCTAACAGATCTGCAAGAAGGATCCAGAGTGTCAACTCACCTTTGTAGTAAGTACTGTCTTCCATGTATCGGGATAAACCAAAGTCACCCAATTTCACACAGTCAGTGTTAGATACCAGCACATTTCTAGCAGCAATATCCCTGCCAAACAGAGGAGACAGTATTTCTAGTCATTTAAAAACAAAGTGGGGAAATATCACTTGAAGGAAATTTGCCTCCTGCCCTGCAAAGGTAAGGAAATGGTTTATGATCTCAGTCCTGTATGCTGGATTTCAGCAGCTGTGACTAAGTACTGACAAATTTAGCTTTGAGCAGTGAACTCACTACAGCAATTCCAGTGTGCAGCATGAGGCTATTTCCTCTTGCCCTGTCACTTGTTACCTGGGAGAAGAGGTTGATCTCCACCTGGCTACAACCTCCTTTCTGGTAGCTGTGGAGAGTGAGAAGGTTCCCTCTGAGCCTCCTTGTTAGGGTTTGGTAGGAGCTCCTCTGTTGCTTTAAGGAATTTTTCCCCATACATGTTATCAGATGCTCGGATACTTAAGAGAGACAAAGGACCCTGGCCACTGGGGCGGGACATCTTTTCTTTTGCAAAAGACCTTTTCCTTTGCAAAAGACCTGAGCACTGGGAAAACTTCCTCTTGGGATCGGCGCTCGGGGAGGTAGGAGCTACGCTCGGGAGCTGCGGTTGCTGTGGGGAGGTCATCACTGCTGCCGAGTTCTGCCGTCTGCTGCTCTCCTTCTGCCGGGAACACTCGGGGATTCCCAGCCCGGCTCTCCCTGCCCCGCCGGGGGTCGCCGCGGCTGCCCCGCGTGTTCTCTCTTTCATTTTATACCCATTTCTTGCCATGCTGAACTCGGTACTTGAGGTGTGACCTCACCAGTGCCCAGCACAGAGGGACAATCACTGCCCTGGTCCTGCTGACACAGGCCAGGATGCCAAGAGTGTAAATCCTATTTACAACATTTTAATATAAATATCTATGTATATGTACATAGATATCTATGTACACAACTATGTATATACACATAGATATTACTTACATATAAGTGTTTGCATATACATTATCACAACACATATAGAATTTGATGGTAAATATTTAAGCAGAAATAAATTGCTAAAGTTCAAAATTGATGGTACACAGTAACTGGAGTACTGTGAAAGTTTAATTGCATAAAGTAAGAGGCTGAAGTCAGTTTCTTCTCCCTAGAAAGCTCATGTTCAAATTCAAGGGAACGAAATTCAAAACACACCACGAAGGAAATTTAGGTTCATTTTCTGGTTAAGCAAATACTTGTATTTTATAAATATTTTGTTTCCCCTCCTCTTTACTTAAGAAGCCATCTGCCCTTGTTTTGCTTTTCTATATTTGGAGGATTACAGTTGACTCACAGCTTTAAAAAATCCTGTAACCACAAAGCAACAACTGAGCAGAAAACTACTCCGACTAAAATCCAGCACCAGCTCTGAGTCAATGCAGGAATGGACCAGCAGGTGTCACCCTTGAAAAGGGGGAAATTTCAGTGGAAGCCTCTGCAAAAATGACACTCCACAAAATTTTAAACAGTTACATATAAAAATAGACAAGTACACATATGTATGCATGAAATCTTACCTATGTACAAATCTTTTGCTCTCTAAGTAGGCAAGAGCTGTGCTGAGCTGGTAAGCGTAGAGTATCAGAGAGGCCAAGTCCAAGCTGTATTTTCTTACTTGCAGAAACGATCTCAACTTTTTGCACAAAGATGGAAAAATCAGAAAGAAGACAAAAAAAATTTACAAATTTGAACAAGGCATATCTCAACTGTCAAGTTTACGTGAGTATCAATGGGCAGGACTTCCTTAAGGCTGGATGAGAAAAGAAAACCACCTTCCATGAGTCACAGAATCACGGAATCATGGAATTTAAGGGTTGGAATGAACCTTACAGATCATCTAGTCCCAACCCTCCTGCCCTGGGCAGGGACACCACCTCACTAGATCAGGTTGCTCAAGGCTCATCCAGCCTGGCCTTGAACACCACCAGGGTTGGGGCAGCCACCAATAGTTTTTACTCTGGGCTAAATTTGAGCAGTTATTTCTACATGAAAACTGTTAGCCAAACAACAAAACCTGTTAATTTTGTGCACTGCTTTAAGCCTCGTTTGAAGAGCATCTGCTGCTGCTGTTCCAGAGTGAAGCACTCCTGGACCTTTTATTGATTCTACCCTTGAGTACAGCACAGATTTATTTATATTACAGCACATGGACCAAATCATTTCAGAACAAAACAGTTCCTGGCCAAGCCAAATACTGATTAGATCAGGACTGTTTTGGAAGCATTAATTTCAACCTACATGTGCTGAAAGCACTGGATTAGGACAGAGTAGCCAATATCCATGCAGAATATTTACAAGCTGTATTCCCAGTCAGGACCTACTGGAAGGTGGCACTAGAGTCTCCTTATAAATTAAAACAAGGCTTTGAAAAGGGATTTGGGCACTGCAAAGGAAACTTGCAATTTTTTTGACAGAAAATTCCCTCTCTGCTGCAGGTTTGTCTGTTCCCACTACGTATTTTTTGGACCATGTACAGCAGTTTGATAATTAAAATGACAATATACAATGCAGAATGAAATGTCACTGGGTCACATTTTCAGAAACATATGGCTCAAAGAAAACTAATTGATCGTAAAAAGTGAGATGCAGTTTTGTTTAAACCATTCAGCCAAAACAAAAAACAATGAGGGAAGTCACTGTATCTAAGGCCCCTGCTGCAGAGACTCTATAGGAAAAAAAACCCCTAACAAATTCAGTGTTCTAAGGGAAAATGCAGATTATACAGGCAGGATGAAAGATCTACCACAATTTCACTTCTAGAAGGTATGTTTGCAAATGCTGTTTAAATGATATCACATTATCATCATCTTGACAGAGGTCATGCTCTCCCTCTGGAACAGCAATTGAATTCTCTGAAAACTCTGACTAAATCACTTTGGAATGAGGTGATGCAGCTCCCTCAGTGGAGGAGTAGGTCAAATGCTTCCACTCCTGTTTCTGAGCCCCTAATTCTACAAACAAGTATGATATCATGTTTGATATCATGTCTTAGTACTGTAAAGTGTTTTTTCAGTCTTTTGCAAAGGTATGTGTGAGCTAAAGGAGAGGAAAGCAAAGCTGCACAAGGGTTTTGCATACCTCTCCAAGAGTACAGAGCTCCATGATTATCCAGACTGGGTTTTCTGTAATGACTCCAATGAGCTTCACAATGTGAGGGTGATCGAACTGACGCATTGTTACTGAAAGAGAGAGAAAAACAGTTCAGTGTGCTACATAAAACCTTGGATCAAATAAAAATAAAGAAGTTAGTTAGGAAGCATTTAGCCTATGACCAGAAAACATAATCACAGGACTAGAAATAACTGGAAACCCTTGCTTGCAAGCAATAGTGTCTTGCTCATTGCATGTGCTGTGGGCAGCAGAAACTGCTGCTTGCTTTAGTTCTACTCACCACTCACACAGAGCAACCTGCTCTGGAAAGTGCCAGTCAGGTCAGGCTCTCAGCCCTGGCTGAGCATAACCTGAGTTAACATAACTTAAGTCAAACCAGTGCATGACCTGTGCCCTTCTACTGGAAGAGGAGGAAAGAAAAACCATGAGAGCAAGAAAGAAGATCATCTAATTCCAACCTCCTTGCCATCAGCAGAGACACTTTGCACTAGACCAGACTGCTCAATAAAACAAAAGGGAACAATAAAAATTGATGCACAGGAAGTTCCACCTGAACACAAGGAAGAACTTCTTTCCCGTGCAGTCACTGAGCACTGAACAGATTGTCCAGAGAGGTCATGGATTCTCCCTCACTGGAGGTATCCAAGAACCATGTGGATGCAATCCTGAGCCACGTGTTCTAGGCTGTCCTTGCTGGAGAAGGGAGGTTGGAGCAGATGACCCACTGTAGTCCCTTCCAACCTAACTTATTCTGTGATTGTGTGTGACTGTCAAAGCATGCCCAACTTCTAAGGAAGCTAAGAAAGAAAAGAACAGTTGTACTAAGCTTTATAGGTTGATTATTGGAAGTATATCTGCTCTTGCACTGAATCAATTTCTCTCTATTTTATATCACTCCTTCCTCTCTCCTTTTCCTTTCTCAGGAGAAAAAAATGGGATGGGGCAGCCACAACATCTCTGGGCAACCTGTGCCAGTGCCTCACCATCCTCACAGGGAAGAATTTCTTCCTAGTATCTAAGCTAACCCTACCCCCTTGCTGATCACTCCTTGCCCTTGTCCAAATTCCCTCTCCAGCTCTCCTGTAGCACCCTTAAGTACTGGAAGGGGCTCTAAGGCCTCCCTGGAGCCTTCTCTTCTCCAGGCTGAGAGAGCCTGCAGAACCCAACTCTCCAAGCCTGTCCTCACAACAGAAGTGCTCCAGCCCTCTGACCATCTTTGTGGCCTCCTCTGGACTCTTTCCAATAGGTCCTCATCCAAGTGTTTCTGCTCCCCTCACATTCCCTTGGCTCAAGACACCTCCCTATGCCTCGTCTGACTCAACACTTACTCCTGCTTGGGGGAGACATATTTGGCAGGTTAGAGCAAACATCAGTCATTTAATTAAGTTCTTCTCTTCCAACATACACATGCCAAAAATCCGTAACATATTCTTGATGAACATCCTTAATTTGATCTTGAAGTAGTAGCTCTCCTACACTTAGAGTTTGTAGTGTCAACAGAAACACGCAGTAATTACCAAACTGCAAGATCTGTTTCAGCTTACCTAATAGCAAGAATAAAACCTGCTATCTTTTGGCTTTAAACTAATCATGAACTAAAACCAGGAGGTGTTTCTGGATTTCTATTCTGATGAGCTCTTAATTCTACTTCTGCACACAGGTACAAAGCAGCTGTATAACCAGCAAGTCTTGTAACACCAACAAAAATCCTTGGATAATCTTGTTTGTAAGACCAAAAGTTATAACAGTTCAATAACACATTTTCCTGCAAAGAAACTTTACAGGCAAACTTAAGATAACATACTTAGCAACTTTTCAATATCTGAAGGGCCTACAAGGAGCTGGAGAGGGACTCTGTGTTAGGAACTGCAGTGATAGGACAAGGGGGAATGGGTTCAAACTGAAGGAGGGAAAGTCTAAGTTGGATGTGAGAAAAAAGGTTTTTACTCTAAGGGTGGTGAGACACTGGCACAGGTTGCCCAGGGACGTGGTGGCTGCCCCAGCCCTGGTGGTGTTCAAGGCCAGGTTGGATGAGCCTTGAGCAACCTGATCTAGTGAGGTGGTGTCTCTGCCCAGGGCAGGGGTGTTGGACTAGATGATCTGTGAGGTCCATTCCAACCCTTAAATTCTATGATTCTTTAAAATATAAATGTTATGACTAATACAAAAAGACCAATAAAGCAAATTTCCCTATGAAAGGCATAGCTAAAAAGGAATAAATAATGTGGTAAAATTATGGGCAATAACTGCTAAATCTTTTCAACACTGAAACTACACCACAAGCAAAAAACTGCAACCCAAAAATATCTTAATATTCCTCACATTAAATTATTAGGCAAGAAATTTCTTCATTCAGTGATTTAACCAACTCTTCTGAGAGAGTTTGCAGTGTGAACGCAAACAAGAGGAATGTAACAGATGGGAATTAGAATAAAAAAGAGAAAGAAGAAATGGCAAAAACTATTAAATCAAAATTGAAAAGCTCTATTTATCTGTCGACTACAGTGGCATTTCCTAATCTGTCAAGCTCAGAGCACAATAAGGAGCATTCAGTGAGCAATTATTTTCTACATTGTTAGGAGACAGCAGCCTACCTGTGACTGCTGTAAGCAATGGTATTTACTGTTCCAAGAGAGAAATGTAATGGAAAAAATTACAGTCATTTCAGAAAAATCCGACATTCAAAAATAAGGAGCCATTAGCTATGAACACAATTAGGAAAAATTCCTTGAACAAAGGAACAGTGAATAAAATATGCTGTAATATCTGGCCATAACCAATTAATTTACTGGTATAATACAATACCTTTATGAGTGCAAAACAATAGCAGAGGATAATAGTAGAAAATTAAGTCTCCTATCTTAATTTGCTTATAAAACCAAACAATAGAGGAATCAGTAACTTTAATATCCTTAGAAAAGTTTCTGTTCACCTCAACAAAGAGCCCTTCTCCACACATGTACCATTTGGGGAATGCAGTATTTGTGGGCAATGATTTAGCAAATTGGTTTGTTCTATCATCAATTTTAATTCTGAATTTTCAAAGCAGATCTCTCTGAGATGTACCATTTTTAGCAACTTTATTAGCAAATACAACTGCCTGACCTTCTGAAGTAATACACTGGAAAAAGTGCTGGTTTTTTAAAATTCATTAAGGAGAGAGAAGGAAATAGAGGATCAGATGTGTAAGATTCCAGAAGTGGCTCTAAAGCCTTACAGGAGTCAAACATTATGGCTCAATTTGGAAATTCAAAGAACTCACAGCCAATCATACACATGGACAATGCAAAGATGGAAGAGCAGTTTCCTGGCACATACTGTAGGGAAGTACAGATTTACATTAGTATCACAGGTTTCTGGCACAGGTAGCCACAGTCTTTCATAGAATCTCAGAAGGGTTTAGGTTGGAAGGGACAGTGAAGATCATCTAGCTCCAACTCTCCTGCTATGGGCACAGAAACCTCCCACCAGCCCAGGCTGCTCACAGCTCCATCCAACCTGGCCTTGAACACTTCCAGGGTTGGGGCATCCACAGCTTTGCAAGGACCAGTGACAGAAGCTACCCCAAAAGAAGTTATTTAATACTCACAGGCTTCTTGTAAGAATTTTTCTCTAACGCTGTCCGAGGTGCAGTTTTTACATGTTTTGATTGCAACAGCCATAGCTGGATTTTCCTGAAAGACAGAGAGAGAAATAACTGAAGTACAGCCCACCAAAAGGTGTCCCTCCAAATTCTAGCAAATCTGCTTTAGAGAGAATGACTATTAAATAAAACACCTTTAGTCAAGAAATTACATGTTGAAAGCTTCAACGGTAAAATACAATCAAGACACAATGTGTACAACATTTACATCTAAAGTGCCTCGGAAATATTACATCTGTTTCAAACCATGTTAAATTGCACCAGAATCATGACAAAAGATGGTAAGTTTAACTGAACAGAACTGCAAACTTTCTGTGTTATTGAGGATGGTAAATTCTTGACAATATTTAGCAAAAGCAGAGGAAACAAGGAGATAGAAGCTGAAAACATCACTGTAAACAACATGCAGTAAACAACATGGAGAGCTAAATAAAGGACTTTTTGTGACTCTTGCAGAGGGAAGACTGGCTGTAATTGTGAACACAAAGGAAAGTGAAACAGAGATTTTACATATTAGCTTCACAGTTAGTTATGCCAAGGCTTTACAACCAACTTAAACAGAACATATTCAAAATCAGAATCAGAAACAATCGTTCCCTTTTGATTGTTCATCCTCTGAATGGTGACGAATGAGAAGTTCCTAATGAGTTGAAAAAGCTGAAGTGTTTTAAAACTGAGCTTCTCTGATTAGTGTAGCCCTGCTGAAGGGCTGTGCCCTCCTTCCAAGTGGGAAATTGGGAATTGTGCACTGTTTAATCAGCAGGTTACACCTGAACCTTTCCTCAGGGTTGATTTATGTCCTCACTGTGTTTTTAGGGTCTGTGAGAACTGAAGATTCACAGTTATGTTCTAAGCCTGTCCATGCTTGGCCTATTTTAAATCTGTTTTTACAGACATTATCAGAATTAAAAAAGCATTTACATTTTGCAGGCTTCAATGTGTATTTTCGAAGTTGCTCAAAACAGAGATCTTCAAGTTGACTTTGCAGGATAATATTGATTAAATCCTTTTCTCATACATAAAATTGCCATAAACTGACTGAAAAATTAGTGGCAAATCATGACTTTATTCCCTTATGAAACCAGGATTGAACGATCAGCCCTGGATGAGACCTCTGGATGCCTGCCAGGCCCATCCCTCTCCTGCTGTTACACATAAGATTTCTGAAATATCCCATAACCAGCACGAGCACCAAGAGTTTCAAAGTCTGAAACCAGCCAAGGCTCCAGACATTTTGCAGAATAAACACAGAAAAAGGCCTTGATATCAGGGGTTTGCTGATCATTTGGATCACACTGGCCACAGTTTGTGTACCGAGCAGCAAACACCATTTTAAATGACACTTTGGGATTAATTCCACAGTAAATCAGCCTCTCAAAAGAGTCTTGCTGGACTTGCTTACATGGGGGCAATAGGATCCTGTGTGCAAACATCCATTTTCCATTCAGGATGCTACAAACACAGGCTGTGATGCCCCAGGAACACCTGGCAGGCAGCAGCATTCCAGATGAGGTGGAAGCTGCACAGCCACTAGAATAAGAACTTTACAAGTGTATTGTACAAGGATAAATGGAATTTTTGAGATTCAAGTTTGAGCTAGCAGACCATGAGGGAAGAAATCTCCCCTGTATTTTTGCACACAGGCTGAATATCTTTATGGAAAGACTATCATGTTATTGGAACTCATCTTTTGTCTATTGTAAGATTCCTTCCCAAAGTCTAAGTTACACTCTGTGACTATGACATGAAAATGTAATGACCTTCCTGTTTTCCCTTCACATATTCAAGTGCCTTAACTGCAGTAAAATTTTATTAATAAAAGTAGTCAGCAGGTTGCCATTTCAAATCCTCATACTAGACACAGATGTGATCAAAATCTGATTCCCAATTCACAAAACAGAGGAGACACAGCATTTTCCAAACAACAGCCCCTAAGAAAAGGGTCTTTAATTGATTTTACAGAGCTCTAGATTTATCCACTGTGCCCCAAGTACAGTGAAACATTACTCCTCAGTACTCCTGTTCACTTGGACAGAATGGAATGAAAAACAAGAATCTCTCCTAATGCAAAGTGTCTCAGATCTGCTTTTCTAACTGAAGGTATCAGAACACACCTAGTTCCCATTTCTGACAAGTTTGAAGTAACATATATCCTTACTCAAATATTGCATTAAAACTTGATTTATTTAACCCACCAAGCTCAGGATCCTAACCAGCAGTTCCTGGGAAATACTATTTCTGAAGTCAGAGCTAGATTATTGTCTGCACGAATTCTTGCATCATCTATCAAAAATCCCAGTCATTTCTTCAAGCAAGAAAGAAATCTTCATTTTACACTTGCAGAATTATTATAAGCCTGAAATTGGTTGAAATAAAGTATTTTTTCCCAGCTTTCTCTTGCTTTTTTCCCCCCCAACTTAATTTTTGATCTATTTAAATCACAACCTTAATCTCTATGGCTGCAGCCTACAAAAACACGTAAGCACCAGGCTAAATTGCACAAGTCCTGCCAACCCCTGGTTTCACTGAGGTGACTCTTGGGGTTTTGCTGGATCAGTGTCCAAGTACTTTGTATCTTTCAGGAAAAAGTAGGAACTTTATTAACACACAAACTTTTTTTTTTTTTTTTTTTGGTGAGAGATCCAGTGAGATTGTCACTGGAGCAAAATTTTATTTGCCCCAGAAGACTCAGCCAAGGCCTCTAAAGAATACATTTGATTTTTTAACTAGAAAACTTTTGCTGTTTGTTCATTTTTATTTCAGAAGTGAAGCTTACCGGACTCATGTAAACTCCTTGGTGTACATCTCCAAACTGTCCTTCCCCAATGCAGCGCCCCAGTTCAATTCTCTCCCTTTGAATTTCATAATCTCTGGCTACAAGAATATAATGCACTTAAAATATTAAGTTTCTGGTGAAGGGCAAAGAAATAATCCACAAGACACAAAACTCAAAGTAAGTCACTCGATGTCTCACATATGAACAACTAAGATTAACATTTGCTGCACACCAACCTATACAGATTCTGCACACACACAGTGGAGACCTCTTAAACCTCTTAGATGTTGGAACCAAAGCAAGGGAAAAAGAATTGTGAAATCTAAATTGCTAAATTAACTACTGTGCACTTATTTCGGTGCAATAGGTATAATTGAATACTTAATTATAGCTGGTAAAAGACAAAGCACACAAACAGCTTAGGGCAACACCAACGATGTTAAATGCAGCCTTAGCACACACATCCCTTGGGATATTTAAGAGAACTCCACTATGTGGGATTTTTAGATTTTGAAACCGTCAAACGAGCCCAGAGAATTTTTAAAGAGGTAACTGCAAGAAAAAAAAATACAGAAACAAGTGCATGGCAAATAAAGACAAAATGAAGGAGCAGAATTTTGAGTGCACTGCAGCTCTGTCGGTGCAACTGAAGGAAAATTGAGATGTTGGGTGAAATTAATGCAATTTTGTTAACGTCGTGGTTTAACAGGCTGAGGATATTACTGATAAAAATGGCTCAGTACTTCAGCAGAACATTTAATCAATTGCAATTGAATGACTTCATTTGCAATTTAATTTCTGGCAGACATGGGAAAATATTTCAGACTAGCAGAAAAGCACATACAGTATATGTTTTCACCTCTACTTGTATTATTCAGAGAAAAAAAATATAACCAACCAGCTTAGGACTTTGTGGCCAATGATTTGGACTCAGTTAACACTACAAAAATAATTGTCATCTAGAGCTGGATAACAAGGTGATAAGTGCATTTTTCATCTTTTTGGGTTTTTTTAAGTGCTGCATTTTCCTCTTTAAAATCCCAAAGCTAACTGGTTTAACTATAAATAAATGTTTATTAAATGAAAGTGAATAGTAAACTGAAAAACTCCACATCATTCCAAACTGCAAGCATACAGGGATGGGTAAAGGGTCTCCTGTTACCTTCATCTATTCCATAGCTTTCTGCAGTGCAATTAAGAGAAAAATCAAATGCTTACTTAGAGCTTCTTAAATCAAGGCAAGGACAAACATTTTTTTCACATTTTTTTTTACAAAAAATGAAGAAATATACTGATGCAATTTTAAGTTTACATTAGCAGAAGTCACAGGTCTGTTCTTGTGATCTTTATTGACTCAGACCTTTGGGAGCTGAACACTTGAGTCCCCTTCAATCCAGCAAAGCACTTAATGAATTTCCCCTCACCAGCCCATCCCATGGGCTTTGGATTGAAGTCATACTTAAGAATTCAGCACCATCCAGGCCTGGGTCCACAAGTAATTACTTCCACGAGAATTTAAATAGAAAGATCAGGGGGAAAAAAATAAATTACACAAAGTTAATCTGTTACCAAAAAATCAAGGGTATCATTTATCACAGTACATTCTGACCCTGCAATTATGTTCTAATAGAATCATGTAGTGACTTACTGCAAGACATTCAAAACACTGGTTACTTCTGGAAAACATATATTCTTGCTTTTCAAATACTGATGTTCAAATATATATGTTTTGCAAAACATATATTCTTGCTTTGCAAGTATTTTCCACAGTAGTGGAAACTATGTTGTGAGCACTGAAGTGATCATGAAACGTTGCTGACATGTCAGAAACTCCAACAATCCTTCACACATTCATGGTCCTTCAGCAGAACATGGCACCAGTTTAGCACCATCCTCCCCTCTTACACTGACTTTTAAAATCAGAACTTCAAATCAATCAGCTTTGACAGTTTAAGATGATATTGTCATTCAAATAGGCCATAAGACTAAACCCTTGTGGCAGCTAAAGCATCACTGGTTTTACTTCAAAGATGAAGACTCAGCAGAACTTTGAGTTCTTTTTGTTCTTGAAGTCTTTCATCTTTAACAAAATTGCATGTGGCACAGTTGAGTTTTTCTCTCTCATGGAAGACTTGGAGAGCACCACATCTGTCACAGAGCAAGGTGAGATACAGTTACAACAGCAATACACAAAGCTTTCCAAATAGTTTCCTCTTATCCCAGAGATTTTGTCCACTCTTTATGTTCAGCATCACAAGCAAAAAAAAGCTACATTTTGAGACCTAAAAAGAATTTCACTGTGAAGTCACTGACAGCAGCAAAACAATTTGGTTTTATTTGATTCAAAACCTGAACTTGAAATCACTGAATCTATGAGTTTTCAAAACATCATAAACAACATTTTCTTTGCACATGTGTTATTTAAGGCTGAAAATACAAGAATCAGTTCCTGCTAAACCAAAGAAGCTTTTGGATAGAAAGTTCCCAAGTTAACCACTGCACTTACTTGATGGCATTGTATAAGTGTCTTCTTCATCTATAATCTCTGCATAGTCATCAGTCTCTGCAAAGGGAGGAATTGAAGAGTTTCGGGAAAAGCAGATGAAAACAATTCTCCAGAACAATATCTCCAATTTATCAAGGCTGATATGTCACAACCCCCAAGTTCAGCACTGCTGGGAGGTATTTACAATAGCATGGATAAAACTTGCTCATGCATAATTTATGGTATGATAATGACCTCAGTGCCAATTATATTACGTCACATAGATGCACCCAACAAGGAAGAAAAGGAAGATTCAGTTGCAGTTAAAAAAGTTCAAGTTCTGTATTTAAAAAACCTATCTAAAATGTTGACTTAAAATCTTTTTAGCAGCAAATTCCGTTGCAGTCAGGAGAAAATGTTATTAATGAGTCAAATTGCTTTACCTTTAACTGTGTGAACAACAGTTTGCCAGGGTTTTTTTGTCAAAGAGGCAGAAGACACTAATGATGTTCCAGGGTAGCATCTACCTACTGTCAGTGTGGCAAGGTGAGTTATTTGCCGTGGAGTCTTCTAGAGCACAAAGACCTTTTAAGCCACACTTGCACCTTACACCCATTTTTCTTGCATTAGTCTCAGTTTTCCTTGTTGACTGGAAATTCACCACTACTTGTGCTGTCACAAATCAAGATCTCAGTGTTTGAAAAAACCTCAGAATTTCAGAAAAATGACAGTGCATTTCTTCCTCTGTTTAAAACCTAAAACTTGTACATCATTCATTCTCAAAACGGTTCAAATGGTGTCAAGTCGTATCAGAAGGTCCTTCTCTTGCTCTAAAGAACATCCATCGTGCGCAAATAATTTCCTAAAGGTCAGATAAATTCCTCCAGGGGTTTTAAAGCCAGTCCACAACAGTGGGATCATTTTTTTACTTTAATGCTGCTAAATCCTACTCAGAACTTTAAATGCACAGAGAGGTTCTCGAAATGGAATCATTTCAACCCCACTGTCCAGTTGTTGTGGTTGGTTTCAGGTGATCACACACTGCAAAGCCTCTGAAAGTCATGATTTACTCCCCCTTTTTGCCCATCTGCCCTGGAGCATATGGATATCCCTTCACCTCCCTGGCATCATTTCTAGAGCAATGTCTTCTGAATGGTGAATGGGACAAGGCCACGGTGAGAGTGGGAAGAAGGATGGGATGTTCCCTTTTGCAGCAGCCCTCAGCTCAACCAGCTTAAACCAACTCTGAAACCAGAGCAAGGCTCATCCATATTACACACACAGATAAACAAGAGGCTTAATTTTCAGACCAACTGAATATTCAACAATCAGGAAACTGCAGGTTGCCTAGAACCTTTGAAGTTCAACACACTTCAGGGAGTAAATGCCATTTTTAGATCCTAGCTTCTTACTGCTTAAAGAAAATTAAGGCTATTTTGATTTGGAATTCCTGTAGGAAAGTATCAGGTCTTGTAAAAACAGAATCAGGAAATTCTACATAACTCAAATTTTTGCTAGGCAATTTCTATTTAGGACACAGCAAAACAGAGTCACCTAATGAAAATTCAATTAAGTCAAAAGACAGTTACAATTCAGAACAGGCAGCACAGTCCAGAGGCACTTATCTCTTTCTTCCTATGTTCTTTTTCTCCTATATTATAAACTAATGTTTTTGTAGAAAATAAGCCTCAGTTTGATCTAAAAAATAAGCATCTGTTTGAAAGGAACCAGTAGTGTAACACCAACATGATGGGGATAAATCACTGTTTCCTTGTGATACTGTGGCAGATCTTTGTAACTTCTGCTGAGAATACAAGAAGTATCTAATGAAGAAATGGACTGGATGAAAGAGATCTATAAACATCTTTGAGAAAAATTTAAGATGTTTGGAAAGCAGAACCACTCAAAAAACCCAAAACACTTGTCACACTAGGTATTAAGGAACGGTGATCAATGATGAGGCTTGTTCTTATCTCTAAATTGAATTAATGACTTAAAAAGCATTCTCAGAACAGCACAGAGCCCTTCACGTGGCTTTGATACATTGCCCAAAATCATCCTGAAACTAAAGAGTCTTCAGTAGTCAATCCACATAAATTCAGTGTTCGCAATTAACTCAGCACATACTTCTTGTTACACATTTAACACTCTGGAGAGGAACATAAAATTCAGAAAATAATTCCTACAGGTCTGGCATTGTTTCTGGGAATTAGAGGACAACTCAGTCGAGGCATTAACACCTGTGGTCAGTGTTTTGCAGCAAAGAGAACTGACCTTCCTCACGTGCAGGCTTGACCCCTCATAGACTCTGAGACTATTATCAAGTCTGCTAAGACCATAACTACCTTGGCTAAGAGATATTCCAGAAGCCACATGGAGCCTAAAGCAAAACTGAGCCAGGCAAGGCTCTCCAGGCTGCTCCCCAAAGGAGAATGTGTTGTATCAGTCTCAAGTGCAAAGCACTCACAACGAAGCAGCAATTCCAGACATCTTCAAGGTCCTTGGTAAGTCTATAAAAACTAGGACTCAGCACTGCTGTTCTCACACACATATTAAGCCCAGCACTGAACCTTATCATCTATTGGACAATCCCAGATTCTTGGAGATGGAAAAATGAACAGGTTGCTTTTGGACAAAGGTAGTGGTGGTTGTCCACGTGACTGAGCCCATTTGAGCTTTACTACATCTGAATGCATTTATTAAAAGGTAGGAAAAAGCATCCCAGGATATTAAATCCATAATAGCTAATTCATCATCTTAACCACCTGTTTGAACTTCTCTTTTTTCAGGATTTTTCCCATTTATCAGAGCGTGTAAGTCATAAAGGAAGATAAGCTCCAATAAAAAAAGCTACATAGTGTTAGTATCTGAAATAAAATGTCTGAATTTATGACAGAAAAAATGTCCTTTGAGTCTTCCATGTTTCAGAAAGAAAACTAGGGCGGTAGTATCTTTAGTTTGTATCTGAAGGAGAGAAAGGAGATGAAACATTATACATCCCCTCTACATTTTACTGAAAGGTCACAAGACAGAGTTATCTCTATTTCTTCTTATCACCTTCTGCTTTTTATGCCCTACTTAGAAGAATAAAGATACATACACTATTAGTAGCAGCAGTTTGATTTTTTTCCCCAACATCAGATGGAATCCTTTAGAAAAACAGCTCAAAATCTCTTTCAAAAAACCAAAACACAACTTGTTTCCAGAGGAAGAAATACTTATATAATCTGCAGAAGTTAAATATTTTGAAATACATTTCAAAGGTCTGAAAAAAACAAACCCTGAAACATTAAAATCTGTCTTTATAATTAGCAGTTTGAGTAGCTGAAACCTGCTTAATATTCAGGTATTCAATCTGCATGAATCTACCTTGTACAGCTTTTCTTTATGCAAGAAGCACTTGGATATCTTTAGAGTATTACTTAGTAGACTCATTGCTCAGGTGTTATATCCACTGATCTCACTCACTGACCAAAATGATTGTGATACAACCATTTCAATCAACCTGGACACTCCTGCAAACCTCTAAACCTTCTTTGCATCATGCCACAATTCTCAGTGCAAACACATGCAGTTCCCCATCCCCGGGTGCTCGAAATTCCAGTTTAGCAGAAAGCATTAGTTGTACAGCCTGTAAAGTACAATATTTATCAGCTAACATCCACAGCAGACTGCTTTTTTAACACTAAAAGCTCTATAAAATTGATTACTGAAATGTGCATTAAGTGGTATATGGATATAAGAGTTGCATATTGCACGTTAGTAACACACAGACTAGAAAACATATTACCGTCCCCACTAATTTCATCTGCAGATCCAGGTGGCATGCAAGGAGAGAGAAAAACAGAGGGGGAGAGAGAAGGGACAGAGAAGGGGGAGGGGAAAATATACTATTAAATTCATGAGTAATCCAAAAGTATACAGACTGTAGTTATCTTATATACCTGACTCAAGAGAAACCAGAAAAGTAGCAGAATTTAAGACTTCTCACCTACAACCCAAGGGACAAAGATACACTCTAAGAAGCTTGTGTGATGAAACAGAGTTAATGACTTTCAAACATCAGTGTACAGAAAAATTCAATTTGGGAGTGGAACTAGTCATTTTAATGCATTGATAAGAAAAGTCAATTTCTAGTTTTGTTCAATACTTCAAAACAGATCTCCTGCAGCCAGAGGAGTTGGTTCAACTTGACTCTGCACATACACTGAGGACTTTGGCTAAGCAGAGTTGGTGCTGAGCCTTACAAAGGAAATGCACTCCTGTCACACTTGTGCTATCCCCAAGCCATGAGTAAGAAATGGAATCATCCAAGTATTAATTACACAGAGCATATATTGCAGTTGTACCAAGCTGAAATTTAAACTAGTGGCAAACAGAGCGACTCTACGGGGAAGATGTTCAAACGAGCACCGGATTCCGCGTGTACTGCAACAGCCCTACTGCACACCAATCCCCACAGCACAAGCTAATGCACTTGAGACAGGAAATTCTTCTTACCCCTAACAAAGCCAAACTGGTCCAGCCCAAGTACTGAACCAGTATGCAGCCAAAAGCATCGCTGTAGTCAGTGTTTAATCCGAAGTGATTTCAGCTGATGCTTGTTGTTGCTGTTCTATTTCATTCATAAGCATGCTGAATCAGGGCTCCAAGAATGAAGTCCAAATATGTTAGCAAAAACCCATGGCAGACAGGGGCTGCACAGCTATACAAATCAAATCATTGACATGTTTGGCATTGTAGCATGTGATGCTTGAAAACACATCCCCCGTAAAAACGGGGACCAGCAAACTGGTGACACTGCACGAAAATCCAATTCAACGGGAGGGAAACGTAACAAAATTATTCTTGGAACTCTGTTTACCTGAGGCTAAAGTAGTTTAAACACAGTAAGTGAGTTAGTATATTCAGCTTTTGGGTTAATAAGGCAGCCTAGACAAAGAGCAGAGCAGTACCCTTGGGCGGCGACTCATGGGCACAGAAGACGAAAGGCAGAAAGCGTCTAGCTTTCTTTACTTTATGCTGACAGTGATTGACTCCTTTACAAAGAGGCAAGAAAAGGAAAGAGAAAGAAAAAACAGAAACAAATTATTTGGAAATAAAAGAAAAGAGACTGAAGAGAACATCTACAACGAAGGAACATAAAAGTAAAGGTTTACATTACAATTCTGTATACGCAAACGAATATATAACGACTGCTGCTGAAACTCTAAAGCATGTTTGGTATTTTCCTTCAAATGCCTTTCTATAGCAATTCTTGTTTCAATTTTTAGAAGACTAGTATCCATTAAAAAGTCAGCTTTTGCCAGCTGTACACACCACCCATTAACAACACGAAGAACATTGTCTATCCCAGAAGTGCAACCCCCTTTTCCAAGCTCCCCATCCAAGGCCTGCCAGACTGTACTGCACTACATTCAAATTTAAGAGGCAGTCACAAGACTTGAAACATGTATGTATTGACTCACTGAACCCTTAAAACAACACATGTATTTCACATAGCAGGGTTACACAGAACAAGGAAAAAGAGTTTCTCTGTCCCACTGAAATGTAACACACGTTTTATGACCTGCCTATGGATCTGTTTGGCAATGGATACTCTAAGCTCTCCAAGGATCTCTGCATGAACACCCCAGGGCACTGTCCCCTTTCCCAGTCACCCCACTGCACTTAATTACAGCAAAGAACTTTGCAGGAGGAGAGAGATTTTGGAGCAGGAGAAAAATACAGAGAAGCCACAACTGATCCCACAAGGTGAGAAAGAAGGACACAAGACAAAACTCAGAAACTGAGGCTATGGGCTCCTTTTACTTGTCTTGTTACCTGTCTGCTCCTCTTGGCTGTTAGTCAGATTCAGTGCTAATAACTAAAAGAGGTGCAAGGAGAGGGCAAAATTCTTGACTAAGTCAGTCAGTGTATCAGTATTTCTGTGTATCCCACATTACTGCAATCCAAAGCAACTTTTCTTCCTTACATCACATGGCACAATTTTCAGCACTGTCATTCTAACACAAACCTCAGGTGACACTCATAAAAAGCTTTGGACACACTATAAAAGAGAAGAAAAACTACTGCAGCTATTTTAAGCGACTACTGAAAAGGTGTTGACATAAGAATGAAGGAACCCAACACTGTACTGAAACAGAAGAACAGGTATAGAGTCACTGGAAGCAACACAGGAGATCTAAAAGGGAAGAGATGTTTCAACTCTTGACCTGTCTACTCAGGCTACAAAGCTAATTTAAGCCTGAACTGCTGAAATGCTGCTCAGCCTCACATTGATACGTGGGTGGCAGAAGCTGCTGAAACCTGACTAACCACTTCCAAATCAAGGACACATCGAAAAGGAAAAGGTGTTATTAATTCATCAGTACACCTCCTTATGCCCTGGGATGTGACAGTCCAACTCTTCCTTTGCCTTTCAAACTCTGCCTTTGAGATGTATTGTCTAAAGTTTGTTCTGTAAATGGAAGACACTTTGTCTTTTATTTAATACACCTGCAGGTCTAGCTACAAAACAAAATTTATTGGTAATGAGCTGATTTTTAGTATTAAATAAAAAAGTACCAATACTTTTCCGAGCTTGAAATGAATCCTACTTAGAAGGATTTCTACCATTCCACACCAGCTTCCAGACAGAGTATCACTGCTGCCCACCTAAATGGCCATAAAGCTCAGAAATGCTGCTGAAAGCTGCACTACTTCTATTTAGCTCCTCTCCTCAATACTAAATACTCATTAAAATACTTGGGTAAAAAAAAAACCAAAACAAACAAAAAACAAAACCAAAGTAAGAGAAATAAGGGGAAAAAATTACTTGCTATGCAACAACTATGCTAGAAAGGAAGAGACCAGGCTAGAGGGCAGTTACTACTGGGGCTCCTACTGGTATTGTGTGAGTGGATAACCAGTACTGGAAGGCTGAAAAATACAATATCCCATTCTATTTTAGTTATCTATTCCTAAAACAATTTGAGGAAAAAAACCTGAAAAAATCTGTAGAAAGAACAAATCTATTGGCTTTCAAGCTTCTTAACTAAAATGAGCCCTATGGGGCTGTCACATCAAATATGTTTCTGCATAACCCCCAAACCTGATACTGCATGGAACATCTTAGTCATACTGCAGTGGTACTACTAGCAAAGCAGAAGTCTCTGCTCAAATCAAATGAATGGAACACAAGGAGGGAGTGTAGGAGGGCTAAGAACTCTTTAACCACAGACAGTGCAGTCAATGCAGGAACTTCTTGGGCATTGACACAGAGGAAATCTCTTTAGACTGTCATCACAACTCATTCTGGTCTTCCTAGGCATGAAAAGAAGCACTTGAGGCTAAAACACAAAAGGGTAACACCACCAGTCTTTTCAGCTGTGATGGGAATCTGAAATACTGTAATTTATTAGCATTAAGGGTATTTTTAACTATATTACTTTATTAGTCAGTGGGAGAGCTGGATGAGTTAAGCAGCAAGTAACTCCCTATGTGAACTTGAAGACTAATGACTTGCTCAAGGTTTGTAAAATTAATCTGCACTAAACCTTAAGCCTGAATGTCTCCCAGTGCTGTGACCATATGGCAGAGCCACAGCTGTAACAAAGCCTTTATAGTCCTCTGACTGCTTAATAATTTGAATTTATAACTATGTAATTTATGCCAAGACTGTTTTTCTTTTCAGAAGTGAGCTGTAGAGTATAACATTTAACTGAGCTGACAGACACAGTCATCAGCACTCAGAATACATTTTTTCATCTCAAAATTTACTCAACAGTTTTCAGCATTGTCTTTTTGGAGTGACTTGATGAAAAGAACATGAAAAAAACCTAAAAAAACTCAAGCAAAGGACACCTTTTTTTCCCTACCAGCTAATTCAAATGGAACTAAGAAATACAAACCCAGCACAAGAAACTCTTTCAGAGCTGAGCACAGGGCAGACCTTCACTTGGAGCACAGGAATCATGACACAGAGCCTGCACTGTGCTCTGCAAGCACAAGTGATTCAACAAAATTGTATTTGCCTTTCCATCCTACTCACAGCTTGGCTGGTGATTAGTCTTCATCATTCACTGGTACAGACAGATCCTTTCCTATGCCAACATCTCCTTCATTAAGAGCACTTTAAAGTGTTCTAACACTGAAATCAGGTGAATACACTAATTATTTTTTCCTCTCCTGTTTGTTGGATTTGACATTTGGCTCCTGCTTTATTTCAGTTCACTCTAGGTAAGCTACAGGAAGTCTCATAGACAAACTACATCATATAATACCTTTCTTCTGCTAAAACCTCACTTAAATCATGCTTACTCCCCCCAAAAGACTTTTTTATTCATTTGAATTGAAATTTCAGTTAAATTATGTGGCTGAATTGGCAACTACTTTAAAAAAGGATCTGCTCATAAGCAGCACCTTAGAGAAGAACTCTCATTCCACCTCACTGTCATGATCAGGAGTTAACCACAATGTGTGACTTAAGTGTAATGACATTATGTTATAAATCTGTGATTCTAAGGCAGAACCTGGACACCTGTTGAGAAGCCCTTTCAGGATGCTAAAATCCTTCAGCTCCTGTAGAGAAGCTTGCTCCAAGAGATCCAATTTCTCCTTCACAGGGCATGTTACTGGATATATCTAAACCACAGGACAGAGAAGCAATGGCACACCAGTATTATTAGAAACTTTAACCAACATATTACCATGCACTCAGAGCTACAACCCTTTTGACTTTAAAATGCTGCTTGTGTCAGTGACAGCAGCTGCACCAGCAGGGGAACAGGATGACAAACCAGTTTCTCCTCAAAATACCTACTTCCCTCTTAAAGGCATGTGTGCTGGGGCTTACTGAACAGTCTGCTTTAACAGCTGAAACAGGGTCTGTATTTTTAAAGGCCTTTTAATTTCCTTCACCAAATAAGTACATACTAAAGCTGCAAAACCAGCACCTGCTTTGAACCAAGACCAACCCCATGGCAGGCCCTAAAGCCCCTTTAGACACATCATAGAATCACAGAATTTTAGGG